CATTCTATCAAAATAACTCGTCTATATATATATATATATATATATATGTATAAGTAAAAGGCACTGTTTTTGTATGGCAACCCAGTGACAAGTACGCCTGCAGCGCCAGTACGTTATGACGCCGTTGAGTTTAGATTTGTGAAAATTTACAAATTTGCACCGTTGGAGTGTTTTCATTGTGTTAGAGAGTAAATGTCATGAATAAATTTGACATGAAGCATAATCCAAGTTGAAGTGTTACATCATTTTCAGCCCCCTTTTTGGTAGCAGGCCAAACTGACAAAGACCATGCAGAATAATGTAGTGTTTTAATTCCACAGCAGAGAAAGTGATGTAGTCTCTGTAAGAAGTTCTAAGAAAAAAAATATATTGGTATCAGCCAAATAAGTTTTAATATATCGGCACATTGGATATTGGACAAAAATCCAATATCGTGCATCTGTTTACAACATTAACAAATGTCAGAGCTATAATGTTTTGTTGTCTATTATTAAATGGTTCCTTCTGTGTGCATCTTTGCCTCCAAACCAGCTGAACACTGCTGAAACACTGAACCAGGCTGAGAGGCTCGGATGCAACGTGAGTTTGACAGTGATGACAGCTACTGTATAACATCTTGCAAGATGTCTGCAGAGGAGTGGGGCAATTGCATCAAAATAAAAAATGCACACTCAGACAGAATGACACAAAACTCCGTGTCAAATGGCACAAGAGACAGAAAGGGGATGCTCGAGTGGTACAGTATTACTGAACCACTTAACTTTCCTCAGGCTGTCTTTCTGTTTTCAGTGCTCTCTGACACACACCATCAGGTTGTTTTGTGTACGTGCGTGTGTGTGTGTGTTGTCTAGAAATAACTTCATGATTGCCCAACTTGAATTCTCCATCTAAGAAAAGTCTTGACACGTTAAAGTGTAACAGCGTCTGAACTCAGTGAACTGGACTCTCTCTCTCCAGACGTGGCACAAACCCGGTTCTGACTGCAGACATGATGAGGAAAACAAACAAACAAACAAACAAATAAGCATGAACTGAACTCTGCACCTAAATGCGACAAGAACTTCTACTTAACGTGGCAGGACTGAGGTTCCCCATGATGGTGCATTAAGTTGTCAGATGAACTTTTAGGACGAACCACGTGAAAAGAAACGAGGTTTTTAAACTGGTTGAGCTGCAGGTAAACAAGTCTGTTCTTCCAGATGTGTTGGGGTGTGTTCCGTAGCATGAACAACGTCGCAGTAACTCGGCACACATCATATGAACTCGCCCGTTTTTGTTCCGATAATACACCGCATGAGATGATCGCAATTCAACTCCAGCTAGAAAAACAAAGTTGCCATTGTCTCGGACTCGGTGCTGTAGATGAACTGCAGATAACACGACACTTCATTATTCTGCTGACACCGATTAGGGAGGTGTGAGACGGAGGAAACCGCCGCGGCTCGAGGGATTTTTAAGGAGTTTGAGGATCAGGGAGAAAAAAAAAAAAAAGGAAACGCGTCGGGCTAGCAGCAGGAGCAGCTCTGAAGACAGCGGTAGTTTGAGCTCTAATGCTTACCTTATTCCAGTCCGAGAGCCTCCACAGATGTTTGTTTAATCATATATCCACCGCCTCGGGGCGCAGGGACACACGGGTAGTGGCAGTTTTCCCAAAATGTCTCCCCCCGCTAAGTGGGCTTCAATCCGCCGTCAGACAGATTCGCCTTTTGTCCGGCAGACAGACGCCATATTGATACAAAGACGCAAGGTCCGACGGGAGACGTAGTTTACAAAGTTTACTCTCGAAGAAAGCCAGAAGACACGTGACGTTGTGATTGAACGGAGGTCTGGATTGTAGATATAGTGAAAATAGCCAGCAGTAATGGCTGATTATGTAAAAACTGTATTACAATATTAATGATAAAATGAATATAATATTTGAA